GAGGCAGGGGGGCAATCAACTTGCAGTGTTCTTTGTGCCGACGTTGTGTCTCAGAAAAACGCGTAATTATTTTTGGTACAAACGCTTAATTACAAACGGTGATTTCGATCGTAGTGACCAGCTGCGCCACGGACAGCAGCCTCGAAAGTTGGAAGATGCGCGCGACTGCAAGGTCTAATGCATGAAGACTCAACACAAACGCAACAAGAGCTTGCAGCAGCTCAGTTAGGAGTCACCCCAACGCCTATTTACAAGCGTTTGCACCAAATGCCGAAAATTCAAATCCTTGGAAGTTGGGTCCCCACACATGTGTTGATCGAACACAGCCTGGGTCACCGCAAGAACACATGCCTTTCACTGCTTGCTCGCCGGCAACAAGCAGTGAATGGACTTCTTGTGGAACATTGTGACTGGTGATGAGAAGTATACCTTCTGTTAGGAGAATCCTAAACGTATAAAGTCATGGGCAGATTCCGCGTAACCCAGTCGTACATCGACGCCGAAACAGGACATCCGACCACTTGAAAAAGGTTCCCCTGTGTGTCTGGTGGAGGAACATCGATGGTGCACTTTATAACGAACACCTGCACACCGGTCATCAAACGGTGACTGCGCAGCGGTACAGCCGAAAATTGAGCAAACTGAGTGAAGCACATGACCGGAAAAGGCCATTCACTGGGCAAGGAAGCAAGCAAGTCATACTGCTGCACGTTACCTGGAAGACAACGCAAGGCCACAGAAAACGATGGACAATATTTCCAAGATTAAGTTGGCTATTCTCCATTTTTTACATGTGAAATCAATTTTCCGGAAAAAATCCGTACGAACTTGGGCAAAAACAGAACTAGTCATACTTAGAAGGAACGAACCCGAAGAACTGATCGCCTTGTCGATGGCGTTGTACAGCGCCCAAAAGTTGGGTGCCCAGTAGGAGTGACAGAGACCGCGTTGGAATGGAAATAGTCTCGCAAGCAAATCTGGAAGTTTGCCCTAGATAAAAAAACCGAAAATAAACATAGTCGACAATGACGAGAACTCACCCAGTACAGAAACGGTCCCAAGGAGGCAGTGAATACACCGCACACAACCACGGACATGACAAACAAACGACGGAATAGGAATCTAGGTGGTTGATTGTCTAAAAATGCTTGTCAGCAAGTGAAGACACGATTACTACCTTTGGTCAGGCAGTAATGGAGGAGGATAATGAGAAAGTAGACCGGTGCGAGGTAGAGGAAAGTGTGTTTGAGGTTTAACAGGACCGCAAACCAGAATCCGCCCCACAAGAAGCTTCCCTAAAGAGGCGTCACGGGATAAACACAGGCTGTGGCATTACCTGAAAGACCTTGAGGATGGACAGAAATAGCACGCCGAATAGAAATCCGTTGTACTGGAAGTGGACGTCTTGGGTAGAAGTGCGAGTGAAGGCATTAACTCTTTGGGACCTTCCACGGTGACACCGTGAAAGGCTGGTGTTAAAATAATAACTACCTACTAAGACTGCTCTGGCATATTACGTACAGCAAATGGCAACCAGAAGGATACGATCAACTATAAAGAGACCAAAATTAAACGTAAACAGAGAAACAGCGACGAGGTATTGGTTGCGGGCCTTTGGTCCTAGCGGCTCCAACATCCTAGACACTAGTCTACAAACACAGTTTAGCGTAAAGTCTGAGTCATACGTGCAGATTGAGTAGAGAAGCAAGAACTCGGAGACCACGACGGTGATACCCTGAAAGTAAATCGTTCCCGGTGACGCATAGGGTTCGACAGACAGCACCACCATCAGAGGGTCAACGTGGCGTCCGATGTGAGCCAAAATCCATTCAAAGTAGGCAAAAAAAGGGGGGTAGTCCAAGGTCCACTTGCTGGTTGCCTAGAAGACATTTGTGGGGTCTAAGGCGAACGTATGTCGACAAACCTCGGTATACCACTCCGATAGGTTAGTGCTGTAGGTGACTGCAAGCCAGTTACGGTGAACTTCGAAGTCCGTGGAGTGACTTAAATCTGGGGGTGATTATGGGAACTTACTAGGCATTGAAGAAGAGGCTTTTGAAAGCAACTCCAGCCAAGATTATCTCTAGACCGTGGCACAACAACATACCCTACGTTAGAGAAAAAAAGTTGTCGAAGATTCACACATTTTGGTTTAGAGGCAATGAAATGAGAGAAGAACGGAGCGGTGGACAAGTTTGACTACGAAGTGAGAAGTCAAGTTAGGTTAAGTTAGGACCTTGTCAATTACAGACCTGCCCTAATTCTCCCCAATGCACAATATACCAGAGCTTAAAACTCGAAAAAGAATTTTCTTGAAAGCAATTCCTCTATCCAATAACAGAAGTATATTCTTAGGGCAAAATGATGCGGGATATTTTAAGCAAATCTTCGCAAAATACATCCATGAAAAATCTACAGCAGTTAATGTGTGGTAGAGGGGTGAGCCCAGGAGTAAAACTCAACTTGTTCCTTGTCATTCACGCAAGAATGCGTCACAATAACGCTCCTTAGGAACATCGTGTGCATTGTTGGCAAGAATATTTGAGCGGTCTACAAGTACATCCTGCCAAATCGACAAGTGAAATGTAATGGACGGTTAGCGAAACGTCAAAATTTGGTTAGTGTATTGAATGCACCTGCAACACGTATTTATAGAAATGTCATGGAAACCATAAAAGAATACCAACACCAGTGAAAGCTTGGAAGTGTAACTCACAAATTTCGGCTAAAATTTGACTCAGTAAACCTCAAAACTAATAAAATGATGCATATAAGCCAAGGAAACAGTCCATCTGAGAACCAGTAACTATTAAATTTTAGCTTAGAGGTAGTATCTAGAATAGAAATGAGATTTGCGTTTGCCACTGATTGAAACAGCTACGTACACATGCACCCAATTAAATTAATATTTAAACAAGAAGAGTACAGCAAATATCCTCGAATAAATATTAGGAAGATCAAACAGGGTGCAACGACCACAACGCAAATTTGGCTACACATTAGTTCAGTTAATCTTATAGCCAATTGAAGTACAGCATTCTACAGCCAATAAAATAAACCCAGAGTAAACTAGGCATCAAATGTAGTCAACCGTATCTTAACAGGCCGCATTGTTGAAAAAAGTGACCTTTTTTTTCTTTATTTTACTATACCACTTTTTTCTGAGTTAAATAAATTTAACCCATTTGCGTCCTTCAAACTGTTTAAATCGCGACCTTGGAGCTTAAAGCTGTTGCACATGTTTCTGCGATTCCCTATTTTCTTATGGCTCGTGTTCTGTATGGCAGGTCTCTTTCTGAGTGCGTTGACCCCGTTTACTTGCACAGCTGACTTCCTTACGGATTAAGCCATCATTTAACACGGTCACAGTTATCTCACTTGACTGTTGCATTAAAATCCAAACTATACCCTGTATTTCCTGGTCTTTCCCGCTTGTCGCTTAAGCCACGCAAATTGATTGTTAGTTATATTAATAACACTTATCTCCTGTAAATATACATTAGGTCTCTTCCTTTAATCTCGTTTTCTTTTATTCATTCCTTATGATCAGCCCAATACTATGACTATTGCAATGATCTTTTTTAGCCGAATTATCAGTGACATAAAAAGCGAAATCCTTTCTCTGAATGAAGGTTGTCAATTCGAGCCAACCTTAGCTGTGCTGCAGGTAATTCCACTGTTTTTTATTCCCCTTGTTTCTAATCAATCCCGATCACTTAAAATGTTATGAGTTATATGATGACTATTTTAGCCAGCATAAGCACCTTGCATTTAGTATTTTAGGTCGGACATCGAGAAGACTCAGACATCTACTTGCGTGAACAAATCAGAGCTGCTCAGCGCTGTGGAATTCGTATTAAATGTTTCTCTTTTCCTTGCTCTGTTGACGCGGCAGAGGTTATCAATCAGATAAAGATGCTCAACCAAAACCCAGACATTCACGGGATCGTCACTCAGGTATTACTTGCCCATAAATTTATACGTATAGTTCCCTCTAATCTCAACTCAAGGCATCACCGCCGAAGAAATTGCGAATGCAATTGAACCAAATAAAGATGTCGATGGGTAGGTCCACTTCTCAACTTGGCCAGCCCAGCCTCTAGTGTGTCTGCTGCGCAAGTAGCCCGTCTTCCCAATGGCGATTACCTTCGGTCGGATGATGGGAGCAATTTTCAAACTCACATTCCCTGTGCTGCAGCAGCTTGCCTGCTTCTCCTGCAAGAAACTGGACTCAAACTGAGCGGCTCACGTTGTCTTGTGGTAGGACGTGGTCGCCTAATCGGGGTGCCGATAGCCAGCTTGATGTTGTGGTCCGCAAATGCCACCGTGACTCTCTGTCATGAAGGCACGCGATGCCTGGAAGACGAGGTCACACGTGCTGAAATTGTCATCACGGGTGTTGGGAAACCTGGCATTGTGAGGGGTGAGTGGATTCGACCTGGGGCAGCTGTCATCGATTGTGGAATGAACACACCACCCAGTGAGTCATCACTTTACATGGCTACATCCCACGGTAGTTGTATGCATTGAAACTCGAGAGTATTAAGGCGACATTTTACCATTTCGTCAGCCACTTACTAACGTAACCACAGGTGTTTCCTAGTGATCTTACACCCCTCATGGGCTTGATCTCTACCATTCTTTTTGACCTATAAGGCGCATCTTGTCGAATTACAGATGGCGAAAGAAAGCTGGTGGGCGACGTCAATTTTGAAGAGGCCGTTGACCACGCGGGGTGGATAACGCCAGTCCCAGGAGGAGTCGGACCTGTGACAGTTGCTCTCCTCTTGAGAAACACGCTGAACGCTGCAAAGAAATACCACGGCCTCACTACACATCCACTGTTGATGACACCGACCGGGGTATTTTCAGATCAGCTGGGTGAATTGCGCAACTCCCTCGCTCAATCCGTCTAGAATTCAATTTAAAATTTCTTACAAATATATATTTTTCTAACACTTCATTTCTATTTACACCGTGTGTTCAGTCGTCATTGGTCCGGTTTCTGAAATTCCGGCCTGCGTTTGACTTTCGCTTGAAAGTGATAGGCGGCGGGAGGGAGGTGGCTGGTGCATCGGCTGCATCCGGGTCCGGTTTGAGGCACGATTCAAGTTTTTGAACTGCTTTCTTAGCAGCCGACGAGACACTCGCCTGTTTCTCCTTGAATTCGAGGCGCTGGGCGGAGGAGAGGCTTGCTTCGCTGATCTCCGACAACCGCGACAGGAGTTCGGCCTTCTCAGTAATCTCCTGCAGTTTCGCCTCGTCGCCCCTGAAAGCCTTGCTGGCCAGAGACGTGATTCGCAGCTTAATTTTGTTTTCTGTTTTCACTGGTTTTGCCTCCTCGTGATTGGATACTTCCTCAACAGCTGCTGCCGCTTGCGGTGGCTGCTCGCTAGAGCAAATAGAAAGGAAATGGATGGAGATAAAGTGAACCATATGCCACAAGTTAAATTTGAACCCTGACGAAGAAGATACTGTCATTCACAAAAACAGTGGAAGCCACGCCATTAGCACTCAAACTACTTTGCCGATTGCGTCAGATTTTACGCTCAATTTCGCTATACATTATCATTGGTCATTCGTCTGATCTGCATCAAAAACTTCTTACAATACAGACTGATTGGCTGTGTGTAATCGAAAAGGCGGTCATTTATTTTGGAATTGCTGAGTTCCTTTGCTTAACAATCAGGACGGGGGACTCTAGCGCCAGTTAAATACGCACTACATCGTACGGTGGCCCAGCAAATGCCACAGTCGAAGTAAGAGTTTCCTTGGCTTACGCACAAATAGAAAGATCTCAAATGTAAAAAAGTTGGTAGCTAATGTAAGCCAAATGCTAGACCACGGTGTCAGCTACATGCCTCTAAGTAAATTTTCTCATACGCAATCTTACTAGAGAGGATGCATATACAGTCAAGAAACCTTGTGAAGTTGGAATGATTTTGAGGCTTACTCGGGGATAACTGGCTGCCATTCACCCAGTAGGTTGATTCGTGGGCGTTTCGATTCACTGGGATCTGCATTAGCCTGTTCATCCGCTGCCACGGTGGCCCTGTTAATGACGTGGCTCATTACATCAGGTGGCGGTGAGGGGCTTCGGCTCTTGTCAGTGGATGCACCGAAGGCCTGACAAACAGCAGCGCTGGCCTCGGAGCTGCCCGATTCACTTAACTCGACAAGCCGATTAAACAAAAACTGGTCGAGTCTTTTCTTCTCGTGTGAAACACACTCCGAGTCGTTCGCCGACTGAATGGACGCCTGAGGACGCTCCCACTGAGTGGCGCCTGTCTTCTTATTCCAGTAATATATTTTTCCGTCACTTGTCTTGACTTCCTTCCACTCATAAACAAAGGGCTTCGGGGCCGTGTGAGGAAGCGGAACAACAGCCGGTGTGGGTTTGTTCTTATTTTTCTTTTTGTTCTTCTCCTCTTTCTTCTTCTGTATTCCCTTTAACTTTTGTTTCATGCTATCAAGTTGCTCGTCTAGTAAGGTGATGAGACAAACGAACCACAAACCTGAGAGGTCAACACCGTAGCGTTTGGCGAGGCTAGGATCATGTTCAATGTCTTTCATCATCCCAACAAAAGCCATCTACTTTTATAAAGAAATCGAATATGTGAATTACATCATTTATGAGAGATATCTTTTCCCGCATTTTCCCCTCTGATGATGACTTGGCATTTCTCCGAAGTTCATTTAGTTTCTTCTGTACATTATTTATATGCCGTTGACCACTTTCATGATTGTTGACACTCTTAAAGACGAATAAGGAAAATAACATGTTGAAAATACAGCAATACAAAAATGGTTTATCTGGAATGCCAACAAACATTGCTACAAGAGTTAAAAAACTGTTTGAAACCAAAAAAACAAATACTGACTTCACATGTTTGTTAAAGAGCAGATAGTAAGTCGACCATGACAACAAGTAAAGCACTTACTCAACGTCGGGTAAAACTAATTTCAACTAATAGCTAAAAATCTTGGATAGACTCATGAATAAACTAAGTCAAACTACAAAAGAGGAGAATAAGCAGCTGACCTGTTAGTTTGAAAAACGAGTTACCAAACAACGTAAATGACGATGCTGAGCAAGAGCAAACCAAGGTTAAGAGAAAATTGCTGCTAGAGTTTATACTGTTAGAGACAAGTACTAAATTCGTAATCATAAATATAAAAAAGATAAAGTACTAGACAGCCTGGACCAATTATTTGGTCTAAGTTCGCAAGTTAGAGGGTTTCTGCAAATTCCATGACCGTGAGTACATATGGACTATAATTCTATGTTTTCTACAAATACTACATTATGTGCATACGTACAACAAAATTATCCTGGATCCAACACTTGCAGACTCCACAATACTTCTTTGGGTTACTTTTCCAGTAATCAGCCATCGAAACCACTTATAAAGAGAGCCAAAGGTCATGCTCGTATAAACATTCGAATGTAGGTGTTCAAGAAATTATTTCAGGAACAGGTAAATCTGAAATTAACTATCTTACATAAAAAGAAAACTATAATCTCATATTTGAGGCTCTTCATCGTCCGAAAGCCTTTAATATAAGATCGTAGTAAAATTCTCATAAATTTATTTCAGTAAGTATTTCCATAGTATTAAAATAATAAACTAAATTCAGCTTATTTATTGATATTTCTAATCCTAATTTGTAGGTTGAAAAGCCACCAGCATTCGAAATCCTTGGTACTTCGCTTGCTCAATTCATAACATATGCCCAAAATAAATGTGAGTGATACTACTTTTCTTGTTTATTGATGCCTAGGTACATCAAATGTTAATTAGTCTTTAAATAAGATTAACATGATTAGACTCTTTTCTTTCAAACCATAGAGCAACGCTTTGAATTGTATATTTGTGCAGTTGCTAAATGCTTTTGATTTTTCATTTTTATCATGCTAAAATTAATTCCGAAATCTTCAAAAAATACAATTATCTGTGCGAAGCAGTCTAATAATTTTTCTTAAATGATTTTCATGGTGACAATTTCATAATCATCTAGCCAAGATATTTGTAAGGCTAAATTCCAAATTATGAGTGCATATGTTACTTCAAACTTAGTTGTGCTAAATGCTTGATGAAATACGAATTATTTATAAGAGAAGATGAACGAAATTGTTTGTTCTTTTTGTGTATTTTGAATGCTTTATGGAATTTTTCCTGCTTTGACGTGCAAAATTATTTTCAAAATTAACTGCGAAATACCAAGATGAGTTATATTTGCTAAAAGCATTTTTAGGAAATTTCCATTTATATTAGAATTATTTAAACATCACACGTTTGAAGAACTCTTGTCGTGTTTTTTAAGGGAAGATGAAGGGTCGGCATAGCAAAATGTAAAAAAAAGTGTCCAAGCACTGTTATATTTCCTTATTAAACATGCTTTTGTAGATTACCTTAATCACTCCACAGAGAGAAAATTATATTTATCTTGCCACAATTGGCTGTTATTGTATCTTTATCAATGATTTACATTTTCATTATCATAAATGAGAAAATAGAGATGAACAAAAAACAGAAGTGTACGCTGGAGACGGACTAATTTAGTGACCAGACTTATCAAATATGAAGTAATAAACTTGGCTGTATGTATGCTTGTGTGTGTGTGTGTGTGTGTGTTGTCAGCGTTTCATTTTTGCACACATTGGCTGAACGCTTTCATAAGATTCGCCATGTATAATGTTGGTGCAAAATGAGTGCTAGATGTAAGAACATTCTATAGAAGGGAATTTTTCATTATCAAAGTGTTATCATCATAAAAAAAGTGAGCAGCACATGGCTATAACTGCAGTTCACTCTCTTCCTTGAAGCCAAAAATGAAATTAATTGCAAGGATGAAATTATAGTTAACTAGTATTATTCAAAAATTTCTGGTCTTTACATCATGTTTGCATTTAAAATTATATACCTGCAACTTAAGCACGCTGTTAAACATATTCGACAAAAACACGAATACTGCAAATTATTACGTGCTCACGGTCGAAATCATGCTTTAATTAAGGACCACTTTTTCAGCTGTTTGATATGCTAACAATTAAGGTTCCATGAATTTATCCTTAAAATGCGTTTCGTAATTAAATATCCCAACAACTCATACCGAAATCGCTTAATTAATTACTGGAATTTAAAATTTACTGCATCACGAAGGACTGTAAAAAAATTATGCTATTTAGCAATGTAGAAAACAAAAGGTTCTGTTCAAAAGCAGCATTTGTGAACCCTATGGATGCATTTTCAAAAGCTAAGATATAACAATATTGCTTTTTTATTTAAGTTTATCCATGGCTTATAAACATATAATTGAAGTTTTATGATGCCTAAGGTTTGTTTAAAAATATATCGATTTGTATAAATGTTTATTTGTTGATAATTTTTAGTGTATCCGTTGCTTTATTTAACTCGATCGTTGTCGATTTGTTTTAATTTTTTGAGGTCAGTTACGCGGTACTTCAGTTAAGGCGTGTTGCTCCCTCTGGGCTAAGGTTTCTCACGGCTTACGTCAAACTCGAGTACGATGGACGCTAAATCTGAACTTGCTTGTACATATGCAACTCTTATTCTCACCGATGATGGTATTGAGGTTACTGGTACGTTGTCTCAACTTTTCCACAAATGTGTTTTTGGTGTCCTGACCCATTTTTCTGTATTATAGCTGACAAACTCAATACTCTATTGAAGGCTGCCAATTGTAAATTTGTTGAGCCCTACGTGACGAGTTTGTTTGCCAATGCTCTAAGTGGCCACAATATCAGGGGCTTCTTTGCTTCCGCCGCTAGTACTGTCGCTGCTCCAGCTCCAGCTGCCGGTGGTCAAGCCCCCGCTGCTGGTGGTGCTCCTGCCGCGTCGGCCGCTGCTGCTGCTGCGGCGCCCGCCAAAAAGGAGGAAGAAGAGAAAAAAGAGGAATCGGAAGAGTCAGACGAAGACATGGGCTTCAATTTGTTCGACTAGAACTTTTTTTAATAATTGACTGCAATGGATTTGCCTCTCTTTTGTGTCTTCGTAGCTAGATCGGCTTGTGGTGTGCAATTATTTTTTACGGTGCGTATGTGTATTTACCTTTGGAACTTGAGCTCAGGCTTGTGATTCAGTAGAAGACGCCATGGTCGGTGTGGTGGCGACGTAGTTTATGGGGGTCTACTCTTATCCTCCCTTCATGTCCTGCGTGTCGTTTTTGTTAGCTGGGATTGTTCGCTGGAACACTACTGACTGATGATTACAGTAGGCGATCCTGATATTCCGGCTCGATTCGTCTTAGCTCCAATCTATTTTAATTTGCGGTAGGCGGATGCGATTCTTAGTGCTTGGCTCTAATGTCCACGATGGGTGTCGTGCTTGGACCACCTGGCACGTTGAAGCGGCCATTGATTTTCTTAACGGGTGATTCAGTCTTGTCGGGGCACCTTCGTGACACGGTCGTGGCGCGTTTCAACAGTGTCGTGAGGTGGGTTTCGCGATGTTCTTAAAATGCTGGAATTTTGCATGCCATGCTGTATTACTGGCGCTACAAATCGCTTCGAGTCCGGCGTGTTGCAAGTGATATCTTTACTAGCTGTCACGTGCTTCGGCTCTCACACGTATCTACCTGCGCCCGTCACACTTTGGTCAATGTCAAAAACGCTGACTTCCACAGCAACTAATATGGAGGCCACACAGAACCGCCTAACTACCATAATTTGGAAACCAAGTTGAACGTTCCAAGATCTACACAAATTGCTCTAATGCGGACATGCTGGTTGGTTTTCCCGTAGTTAAAAAGAGCCAGCAAACGAAGACATTTGTAAGTATTTGGAGCACACATTTGCAAAAACGTGTTACAACTCGGAATGAATGTTTCGGGACATCACAGAATGTTGGCATCACTTGTGAGATTGCACAGTGTTGAAGCAGAGCGCGGGGCGTTTCTTATGCTGCTTTCAGATAAGGCTCGGTATCACGATGATCGAAGTCTGCGCCTCGTTTCACTCGCACCTGAAAAAGGAGGTCGGAGTAAAACACAACAGAAATTGTTACGAAATCATGTCTACTTAAGAAGCAAAAGTAGACGGTAATACCTGATCTGTAGAGAGGCCACTATGATTTAGCAATCTCAGGTAACGGGGCGAAACGAGTGACGATTCAGTTGGCTTCTTCCAACGCTTAAGCAGAAGCGAAAGACAAACAACAGACACAGACGAGGCCGCCATGGCTGCAGATGCCATCCATGGGGCGAGTTCGATTCCCAAAGGCGCTAAAAGACCCATCGCTATGGGAATAGCAACGACATTGTAGATGAGGGCGGCGAAGAAATTCAGACGGATCCGCCGCACAGTAACACTGGAAAGCGAGATGGCAGCCAGCACGTCAACGAGGTTATCGCGCACCAGGACAACGTCAGCCGTCTCCACGGCTATGTCGGCGCCGCAACCAATCGCGATTCCAACGTCGGCCTGCGCCAGCGCCGGACTATCGTTGATCCCGTCGCCAACCATCGCCACGTACTCGCGGTCCTGTTGAGTCGACGACGACCATCCCGTCTTGCAGCAGCACGCTACAATTGAAACAATAGACTATCGGCAAATGGGTCAATCTATCAGGGTTCTGGCTTAATTTTTACAAAAATTTTCATCAAATTTATGTAGTGTAAAGCGAATAGAGAACAACGCACTTAATCTTGGAAATACTGTCCACCGTTTTTACATGACCTTGCGCCATCTCTCGGGCAACGCACGAAGGCTGTCGCAAAAGAAGCTCACAGGCTTTGAGGCAGCAACATCATCGACGGCGAATTTACGCAGGTCGTCCAGCGTTGTGAACTGTTCGTGTCCGCTAAGGCGTGCTGCTGTGTTGATTGGAACGAATAGTAGTCGGAAAGAGGGAACTTCATTGACGGTGGTCGGAAGGTAGTATGGCAGAACTTCCACTCGGCCACGCTACCACCTACCCTTCCGTGCCAACACTGCTCCTGATGTTTTCCAACAATTCGTGGACACCATCTTGGCTGGCATTCCTGGAGTAGCAGCATACCTCGACGACCTGCTACTCGTAGCTAGCTCGCGAGATGAGTTACTCAGGTAGATCGAATAAATCCTCCAATGGATTCAAGACAACGGACCCAGGCTTCGCCAAGAAAAATGCGAGTTCTTATTGACTTCGGTCAAGTATCTGGGTTTTGTATTTGACGCCTCTGGCCGGCATCCGGATCCTAAGAATATCCGCGTTATTCAACAAATGCCGACTCCCAAAGATGTTCCCTCACTGTACTCCTACTTGGGACCAATCAGCTATTACTTGGCTTTCCTTCCGATACAAGAACTTCAAGAGGGTGTTCTAAGTTGCACGAGCAACGTGAGGTGGTCGAGCGTTGTCGTACAGCAGCAGCAGTATGATCTGACTGCTTCCTTCCCCGTTAAATGGCCTTTCCTGATCAAGCTGTTGGCACAATTTGTTCAATTGTCGGCCGCAGCGTTCCACAGTCACAATCTGACCAATTTCCAGGCATTCGTAGTAAAGTACACCATCATATCAATCCACCAGATACACAGGAGAACCCTCTTCAAGTGGATTGGTGTTCTGTTTCGGCGTCGAGGTACTGAGATCTACCCACGACGTTGTGCGTTAGATTCCCGTAGCGAACAAATATACTTTTCATCACTCGTCACAATGTTCCACAAGAAGTCCATCCATTCAACGAATAGAGGACAAAGCACTTAATCTTGGAAATATTGTTCATCGTTTTCCATGACCTCAGGTAACGCACAAATGCGGAGTCGCAGTAGCAGTATGACTTTTACAGCACACGACTTTTGCACACTCCGTTCAATCGTCGTCTGAATAGCCGTTTAGTCACCGTCTGACTAGTATCCTACCAGATCCACAGACACAGATACTTTCCACTAGCACCATGGACGGTTCTACAGACTACCTACGCGTTAAATGCACGCACTTGTTCAACATTCTGGTTTTGTACAAAGCATTCGTTAATAAATACTGTACTTTTGGCATCAGAGACTTCAAGATAAGGAGCCAAATAGGTGTAAAAATTGCTACCCTGCCAAAGAGAGCGTCGACGACTGGTCCATCGGTGGCCATGGCGTCGCCCTATGGCGGCGTACTTTCCCTTTCGGTCGTTAAAGAATCGCTTGCGACCTAGGGTTGTCGCTGCGCCGCCACCACTGCCGAGGGCTACTGAGTGGTCGTCGTCGTTCTCCTCCACCTCCTCCTCCTCTGTTTCGGAATCCGAAAAATCAACCGGCTTCTCGGCTTGAAGGAAGGACACGCGTTCCTCTTCCACCTCCAAATCACCGTTGTGGTCGCCTTTCAACTTGCCATTGACGGTCGCCGACAGTTTGGACTTGGAAGGTCCGTAGCCGCGGCGTTGAGCTAATCAAGACATCGGGAAAGCCAAAGTTAACTGAGAGCGAATCGGTCTAACAACTGAACGTCCAGTGACGATCATAGAACAATAAGGCACCCATGGAATTTGTTGCAGTACAGAGAACCAAAGAAATGACAAATTGACAAACGGTGGTGGGGGGAAGAGATGCCAAACCTGGTCGAGTAGCCAGAGCCGAGGAGCGTGGCCTGTTGCCCTTCACGTGGCGGAGTTGAATTCGTCTAACTTGGGCTGCCTTGTGCGCCGGCACCACCTCACTGTAGACGTCGCGAATGCCAACCTAAAGGAAAGTGGACAATAGCAGGGGGGAGGGGTTGAACAAGAACCAACGCTCCGAAATAGGGTGGTCGCCTGGCATGACAATGTCTCAGTAGCCGGGTAACGTTGCTTCTAATTGACAGTAAAAGCGTAGAGCGTAAAATTGTTAACAGAAATCAACTGATCGATTTCCTGAGCGAGGTATCTTGTTTGGGATGCTACTATCCCTAACAGAAATGCCACCTCCCAATCTGGACTCCTCTCAAACTCTGGGATGAAAAACCTAAAGAAGTAGACCTCGAGACAGTCTCTTGAGGCGCGTAATTGAAGGCACCTGGCGTGCAGACCCACCTTTCGTGCGATGGACTTGGCCGACCGAGCGTTGTCGCCGGTCAGAAGGGCCACATGAATGCCTCGCTCCTTCAGCGCTGCCACGGCCAGAGTCGCCTCGGGCTTGATCGGATCGGAGACGCAGAGCAGCGCGACAAGACGTCCATTGATGGCGACGTGGACCACCGTGCGTCCCTCCTCTTCTTCGTCTTCGCGCACGAGACGATTGAGATCCATGGATGGCATGACTACGCCCTTCTGGAGCATCCACTTGAGGTTGCCGATTTGGAGACTGTAGGTCCCGCCTTGGGAGATATCTGGGAAATAAAAACACATATTTCCGCGGTTTTTTTCTGGTTTTGAAAAGATCCAACGCTGAACGACAAGTCTACGTGAGTTATAGCACCTCTCACAGTAGCCGAGTCTACGACGATGAAAACTGATAAACAGCACATTCGATGGCACTGCATTTTGTGCGAATTCCAACAACATGGAAAAAAACGTTTCGAAAGCACGGGAACAATCAATTTGTAGTGTTCTTGGTGCCAACGCTGTGTCTCATGAAACCTGCAAATATTGATATATACGTTTTAGATGTGCTGATTCCGATCTTAGTGAACAAGCGACATATTCACCAGATTTGGACTGCCTTCCGACTACCATTTTCTCCGGTCAATGCGGCACACCTTAGTGGACACAAATAGTTCAAAGCGCGGGACCATGTGCCCAAATTCGTCAGCGATGACTTTATTGCCTCGAAGCCTGCAAGTTTCTTTCGCGACGGCGCTCATACGTTACGCGAGAGACGGCACAATGTCACAGAAAACGATGGATAATATTTCCAGGATTAAGTTCGCTGTCCTCTATTCGTTTTATATTACATAAATTTGCTGCAAAATCTCTAAAACAAATTAAGTCATAACTTAGTGGAGGGTTTTTGTGTAGCTAAGCCCTGGCGGAGTCGCTGTGTCAGGCTCAGTTTGTCTAAAACCTTAGTACACCGGTGCGATGGTTTACCTGGAGCGAACAGAGGATCTTAATGACTAATAGCAAGTTTATTTTCCACACACGAAAGGTCTACTGGTGAAATTACACACGAATTTGGCATCTGATTGAAGACATTTATGTTAGAATAATCAAAGCCCAGTAAAACACGTTATTTGAAGCATTGTGTACTAAAAACTGGTGAGAGTGAATTGGTGTTTGCCTTTGGTGTATGTTGCACATTCGGTACATTTCGGTGTGTTTTGTGAAGTGGTACCCTTGAGCATGAGAAGGCGGCTGGGGTAAGCACAGAGAAGTACCGCCTATTACCGAAACAGCTTGAGAAACACCTCGATTGGAGATCGCATTCGTGTGTGTGCATCGTGTTGATTCACGCCTATTAACCCGGTCACTGCAGTCTCAAACACACGTAGACCGTCTGATCATTCACCCCCAAACAGACGTTTGTACTTTTACCACAACTTCGCTGAACAATCCGGTATTCGGGTTTCAGGGTAGCGTTTTCCGGCTATATCCAACTCAGTGGCCCCGGTGTGGTTTGAGTCAACGTGTCGCGACCCAAAACACATGAATTGGCGGCCGACTTACCAGCCCAGACATGCGGAGAGACATCAGAATTCCACCTGACTGAGTAGAATTCCAGTGCTACGCGTAGGGCAGCGTCGTAATCGATGCACTCCCCAGGCTGTTGCCTCGGTGACGGTGGTGCAGGCTGTGGAAGTTCCGGTCCAGCTGGACAGTCTCCAGGTGTCACGGTAACATCGCACGACATTCCATAGCCTGCTAGGGTCTGTGAGTTGGATACCTAGTTGCGAATGACAATAAAACACGACTGTAATACCAAACTCGGCGCTTCGCTGTGGTAACTAATAAACGGTGAATGCTATGTCTACAAGAAGCTACTTATCAAAATCCGAAGTAGGGGATGCTTATGTAATGTAGTAGCAGCTAGTTCCGTATCGATAATTGATTATTTCTGCACCAATAGAGGAGGAACTGAATGGCGACGACATCGGAGGTAGATGCAAATGCATCCCAAGCGTTTCCTGCGTACCGTGGCGAATTCCGACTTCCAGGAGTTGGTGTTGAGTTGGCTGCCTGGAGCTGATTGAATACTGCGAAGCATTCGGACAATGGCCGTGGCGATGGGGTGCTGGGCAGTGGACTCTGCGCTACCCACGACGTAGAGCAGACGACTGGGCGAAATGGAGGGACTGAGGTCTGCTGTCTGGTTCGTCCCACTGGTCTGAAGGAAAAACGTACTACGTAGAGCCATTTGCCACGACTATCGTCTTCGTCTACGTATGTCTAGGTCCGTTGGTCATCTGTCACTAGCCTCTATCGTATCGACAAAGGCGGCATTGTGTGCGTCTGTGGCTTATAAGCGGTCGCAGTTGTAAACACAACCATACACGCGATTTAGCCGTCTATTTACAAGTCCAATTCGTAAATCAACCATTGATGCTTCAACCCAAACCTTCGACACTTTCATCTCAGCTGAGGTCATGCCCCAAGGAGGCAGTGAGTACACGGAATTTTGGTGTATCTCTCACCATGTGTAAGACTTGATTATTACGCCAGTTTCAAGAGAGCTTTGACCCCGATTAGCAAGAGTATTCAACAGGTAAATGAATATTCGGTAAACGGCAATTTGTTAGTTTACAAAAACGTACGTCAGAGCCAGTGGACGGGATGAACATGATGATTCTCGAGATCTCTGGTCGACCTAGTGTGATTGTTCCGGTTTTGTCGAAGAGGACTGTTGTCACCTTAAGTTGTTGACAAGACAGAGTCATCACTAGAGTCGGTAGACAATTTTAAAGGTGTGGGGCAGACCACAGAAGCAATGTGTGTGTGTGTGTTGGCAAACGTGGAATTGTGGTTCCTACCACTAGATTGAAAAACCTCTTAGTTGAAGACGCGAAATTTATGAAATAGCACCTAGGAGTTAACGTGACGCCAACTCTACGCTTGGGCCGCACACACGCGATCAGGTGTGACAGTAATTTCCATCTAAATCTATGGGTGACTGGCGTGAATCAGCCTGTTGCCTGTAGTAAATTCACTGGGCCACTGGGAGTTGTGGGTCGACATTGAATCAACCAATAAGGAGGAAGCAGGCAAGGTCATTACTTTGCGCAGGTTCTCCAGCGGTTGGCCGCCCTTGATGAGGATGCCGTGGAGAGCACCAACTCCGGTCCCCACCATGACGGCAGTTGGCGTGGCCAGTCCGAGGGAGCAGGGACAGGCGATGGTCAGCACGTTGACGGCCACACGGAAGGCGTGATCCAACACCGCACCTGTCAGAGAACACAGTGGCTGAAAGGAGACAAACGCACACTCTCGTACAGCGCACAGGCGTTGCAGGCGTCCGCGGTCGGGGTGAATCGTGTTGATGCACGACACACTAACCCCCTCCTTTGCCCGTCTGGTCTTCCACACCCCTGGTGCATGTACTGCTCCCATCACACGTCTCACCCAGTTAAACTTTCACTAGTTCACCCAAACGGGGTCTGTCAAAGACTACTTTGAATACACGCCCACAATACAACTTGGTTGAGGCAACGAATAAACGGTTTAGTCCCCCTCTCACCAACAGACGTCATGGTGTTTAAATAGGCCGTTTCCACAACCAAGCCACAGCATTATGCACCGTACCGACGAATGCACGCGTTAAGCACGAAAGTTAAGCGGCTACAAGATTTCAGTAGCCATTGGCAAACAGGACCCAAATTAAGACATTCTGATGGGTGTAACGAGCAGCTACAAGCTAAAAAAACAGCGCGAAATGATGCTTCGAGCTTCTCTGTCTATTCAATGAGAAGACGCCGTCACATTTGGCTGTTACAACCTTTCAAGCTCTCTTATTGGTTCCTGTAGGTTGACAAACCGGAAACTATCATCTTGGTCCTTCCTTCGTCCCCTCGTATACCGCGTCTGTCATCACACCTATAAGTCTGGAAGACAGTTTCTGGGCACGGTGCATGTTCCACACACTGACCCACCTTCTTACGATCAATCTGACTATCCACAACCTTACTTCTCCCACTCATCCACACTTCAATCGTATTGGCTAGTTTTGAGCGATAGTCAATCATGATGGTGGGAGAACAAGCAATCAAACTTGCACAACTGTGGATGAGCTACTTCAACAAAATTGGATGACCTTGGTGATAACTGGAGCCAAAAACGCAAAATAATGTTCTGTCTAAAGAAACCCGCACCGATTAGACAATTTCCTTAAAGCCACTGGCTACATTAGGAGTCTTAGTTACAGAGGTACATATGAACGTAAAGTGAGTTCTGATTCACACACAGCGACCCAAACACCACTACTAAAGACGCGGTAGAGTTGTTCAATCAGCGTCAGCTCTCAGTCAAAGATCTAAGTCTATTCCACCTCGGCAAAGTAGATAATTAATCGAGATTTCCTTGGCTATATCTCCTCAATGACCACACCATTGTAGTCACATTTTCCTTCACACTGACGGCTCTTGTGTGTGTGTGTCAATCTCTTTTAATCCATCATGTCAAGGAATTCGCACAGTGGCTGGGACAGCTCTACACAACAAATCTGGGCGTTGGTCAAGTGGGAGTGGGTTCTTGAATACGTTCAAGTTTTAACGAGTTTAAAAACCCACGCGAGCGTCGAAATGGCCAATGGGGTGAGAGCGCCGAACGAGGACCACTACAGACGAAAGACTCATGTGGTTTTTACCTGGCACTCGACTTAACACAAAGCAACACTTACGGTGTATCCATGAATGGATGAAGGTCGTAGGAAACCGAGAGTAATCCAAAAGACTAGGGATGCGAGCGACAATACGATGATGCAGGGTACGAAAAAGCTGGAAATTTTGTCCGCCAGTTGTTGAATCGGGGCCTAAATGCGAGAGAAATCCTAGGCTTCACCTCTTTCATACCCACAGCATTTACAGCTTGCTCGCATCAAACAAAGTAGCTTAACGGATGCTGTTAGGATTATGATGGACTGTAAAAATAAGATTTTGACCTATGTAAAAGAAAGTGTTGCGTCAAATATTTTTACGCGATGCCCAGCACTTTAAATTTTGCGAAATTCAGTTTCTCTGGGATCAGGAGAATCTGAAGCTGGATTTCAAGTCCACGACTGTTCTGGTTGGTTACCAGAAGAGCCAATCAAAAAACCAGTCGGTGCTGATTGGTCGGTCGGCTGATTGGCTGATTTGCGACCTACCCCACCGTATTACTCACAGCGCCGTTAGCGCCGTCTGTTAACCAAGTGGAACTGGTATGCGAGTGCTTCCATGGGCGTTTGCCACGGCAGAAGACGCTTCGCTAAACGTTTTCGATGTCTGTGCAGGGCAACTACCGTATTTTTGTTCCTCAATGCAGACTTGAATGTGCTGGTAATTGAGTTAATGCAGGTCTTGGTGGATATCGACGTTTGGCAAGAAACGCAAACACCTGAGATTCCGTAAATTGCATCAGTGTCCAGTGAAAATTACTTTCGAGTCGGCGCGTTTCTTGTGAGCGGTCATTAAGTTTGCGTCAGCCTGATTCAAACACCACCCCTTAAAACAACATTCTCGAATCGTCTGTGTATAGGAGGCGTTCACTAACACTTGCACCTCCGTAACTAGGGCAACCACTGTATTGAAGTCTCACAACAGCCTCTGACAAAATGAGCGCTCCATTTGCTGACGACTACTGGGTGACTGTAGGCATATCTTATTGAGAATTTCAACTAAACAGGGATTAGTAGATAAAAGCGAACGAACCTTGGATGATTGAGCGTCTTCGACGAGCGAGATGATCTTGGCAAGAGCTGATTCGCTGCCGAGGTGGGTTGCTTGCACGTAGAGCAGACTGGACAGATTAATTGTCCCGCCAAAAACAACGCTGCCTGTTTAAACAAGAGGATACAGCTTACAAGCACGCCCACGCAGTGGGCAGTAAGTAAACTAGAAGAGAATGATTTGAAAGCATTAGATGTGCCAAATGATTTGCTAACGCTGACACACTGAGGGTACTCAAGTTCGTAAATGCACACCCGAGTCGAGTGCACTGTGCCGCACAAAAGGCACCATCGAGGGGTTCGTGGAATTTTGCACGACTTACCAGCGCTCTTTGGAACGGGCATCGACTCTCCGGTGAGCATCGACTCGTCACACGAGGAGTCGCCGAGCACAACTCGAGAATCAACGGGCACCTTTTCGCCAGGCAAAATCTAACAAGAAGTCAGGAAGAGGCGTATTAGCACCACCCCCAACCTCTACGACGTCACACACCGCAGCTTACGAGTTTAAACTAATTTGACATAGCTTAATCACACCATGTGAAACAGCATACTGGCATAAGTTCAACAGTCACCGACAACACTTTCCCAGTTTGTAAAAAGACATGCGATCCGAGGTACTAAGCCAATGTGCTAGGGCCTCGCCCGACACGAGCACGCGTGTGCTAGAGACTTGTTTGTGAGGTGGCGAGGGGAAGTTTACCTTGACAATGTCACCGCGTTGCACCAGTTCGACGGGGACGTTTCGCTCGTGGTAGCTTTGAAGGTTTTCGGCGACCATTTCGTCCGCGAATCCTGCCGATGGCTCCATCAAAGTGGCCACTTTGGCTTGCAGAGAAACCAACTTCGACACAGCGTCAGAAGTCTTTTTCTAAATATTAGAAGAACAACGAACCATGGTGATATATGACCGTGAACTCGCAGGCATACGGAACCCGTTTCCCTCATTGGGTCGTTCAGTTGTTGTGTACTTCTGGCCGTTCACTCAAGCCGTGTTGGTGAACAACTAGGTGGACACATCTAAAGAAGAGTTGTCCAGCTATCTCTGGTGCTTTGAGTAACGCAATGGCCCCGGTGTTGCTCGGGACTACATGCCGGAGATTTGAACAAAAGACTAACCACGTCTTCCCATTTAAAAAGAAACAAACAACTTGGGGTGCCTGTAAAGAAGCTGGATGGTGATATGGTGTATAAACACGACACAATGACCTAGTAATTCGACAAACACAATATCACCTGGGCTTCGCAGCTAAACACACCTTCTTCTGCACCTGGATAAGCATTGAAAGTGCTTTCAGTGTCGACCACACCCTAATAATTAAACAGTTTTGCTTTGCATCGGGGGTAATCAACTTGCAGTGCTCTTGATGTCAGCATTGTCTTATAAAACGCGCAATTATTGGTACAAACGTATCATTAGAAGCGATAATTTCGATGTTAGTGACCAGCTCCACTACGGACAGCAGCCTCGAAAGCTTGGAGATGTGCAATTACAAATTCTCAAAACCCAATAATAACTTGCAGCGCCTCAGTTAGGAGTCACCCCAACACCTATTTACAAGCGTTTGCATCAAATGCGTAAAATTCAAACACTTGGAAGTTGGGTCCCCCCACATGTGTTGATCGAACACATCCTGGGTCATCGCAAGAACACTTGCCTTTCACTGCTTGCCAACTTAGAACAATCAGTGAATGGACTTCTTGTGGAACATTGTGACGAGTGGCGAAAAGTACACTTTCTATTACGAGATTCTCAAATGTTAAAGGTCGTGGGTAGATACCGCGTAACCCAGTGCATCGACGTCGAAACAGGACATCCGTCCACTTGAAGAAGGTTCTCCTGTGTATCTGGTGGGGGAACATCGATGGTGCACTTTATAAGGAACTCCTGTTAACTGGTCGCCAGTCGGTGACTGTGCAACGCTACAGCCGACATTTGAACAAACTGAGCGAAGTACGTGACCAGAAAAAGCCATTTACTGGGCAAGGAAGTAGGCAAGTGATACTGCTGCTGCTGATGATGATGCTTGATAACACTCGACCACCTCACGTTGCTCGCGCGCTACTCACAAGACACTCTACATTTGGGCATGGGAAGATCTCCCACACGCGGCATGTTCACCAGACTTTGTTCCATCCCACGACCGCCACGTCTTATTGGATGAAGAATTAAAAAGTCTGGACTAATACTAATTGAAACAAAGGGCGGACAGGAGGTGAGTCTGACCTTGGCCAAGTGTTCCAGCCATCTGCCCAACGAGATGAACAGAAAGAGCATCGGAGTGGTCTCGAAGACGGTGCGTGGACTGGTAGGCCAGCGTTGAATCATGGCCGTCACGACCACAACGACCGAGTACACGTAGGCCACCGTGGAGGCCATCACCAGGAGAACGTCCATATTGGCCATTCCGTGCTTCAACGACTTGTACGCCTGTACGTAGAAGTGACGGCCGCTTATTGTCTGCAATGATCAAGAAATTCAACAGTCAGTGTTCCTGGGTAACTTGTTTGGCGCGATTAGACCAGGAGGACCAGGTTTGGGTGGTGTCAATTGAAAGTGTATCTCCAAAGTACACGTATACTCCAATCAAGTGCATATCAATAACCTGCTAAAGAAGCACTTAGAGTGGCAGTGTGATGGTGTAGATTTTAAACAGTAATTGAGCTATGAGATGTCAATGTGCCAACGATTGCATTCCCCGAGTAGGGACCACCTGAATCGGAATAGCTTTGGAGAGAGATGTGTACGCTGTCGAATAACACCAGAAATAGCTGTTCGACCCGGAAGCACACACACACACTTGTGCGTCGCTGTGAGCTTCTATTTAGGAAATTTCAACCAAATCAGGATTCTGTACCCATGGTTAGTTGCGATGTTTCCACACGCTGCTCCAATTAACGTCTAACCGTTCCAGCAAACTGACAGCCAACCAAGGCCTTCAGGAAGAGATTTACGAAACGCGAGCGCCGCACACAACCATGCCAAGTTGACAACGAACGTAAACGTCACCGTTGGTACAAAACCATGACGAGGACGGCAATTCTCACCTGGACTGGTGTTGCGAGTATCCACAGGATGAGATTCTCCCACGAGAGACCCGGCAATACCATGAGGTGCGAGCCGTGGCCGCGGACGTGCTCGGTGTCGTTCGGAGAGGGTGGGCAGTAACCACCGCTGGGGGTTCCATCGTGCGGCGAAAACAACATGAAGACCATCATTGTGAACATCGTCGGCAGGCCAAAGATGAGGTTGAGGAGGAAAGAGCAACGCCACCTGCGGGGAGACAACAATTGACAAGTAAAGCAGCGTTCACCTCAACTGTCATTAGTAGAGTTGGTGTCGCTGAGGCAGGCTTTTAGTTACACTAAAGAGCTGCGTATCGCCGTGTTACTCAAATCTCGTCAACAAGTCACTGCCAAACGGTTTCTTTGAATTATTTTACCGGTTGATCCTACACTAATGAATGTGGGAATGTGAAATAACACGCTCAGTACACAAACACATTTATAAGCAAACGAAAGAGGGGAGGTAGCGTCACTTGCAATGGATCTAGCATAAGACGCAAAACAAAGCGATTGACGTCTTACTGTTTGGCTTCGTCGACTTGTCCGGCGAGCTGAGTGTCTGGCTTGTAGACAGATGCCTTGTATCCCATATCCTGGAAAAAAAAACAGATACACCTAATCGAAAGAAACCACACTTTCACGATGAAAAATCATGGCTAAACGAGTCAAGAAATCTGTCCGTGGCAAGAAGAATGACAAAGTTGGATGAGACAGCGTCAAGGTGAGCATTATATTAGTGAAGAGACCTTGGCGATTTGCAGGTCCTGAGCCGCGGCTTCGGATCCGAGGTAGCGGTCTCCAAAACGTGGCGATAGAGCCCTTAACCAGGTCAATTCAAGCAGGATTTGACAAGTTTGGTTTAAAAGAAACCTCTGATGATTTGAGTAGCGTTAAAGTTATGAATAACATAGAGTTGCTTGCCTCGACGGCTTCAACAATGGACCTCAATCCGATGGTGTTGGGGTCGTAGACGATCTTGCCGCGTTTCGTTGCGAGCGCGACCGAGGCAGATGTGATGCCGGGCATCTTCATGAGGGCTGACTCAATCGAATGCACACAGGAGCTGCACGTCATTCCTGTAATCTGGAGAGGAAATAACAGGCACTTTTAGTCGATGCTGCCAACTCACCAGACAACGCACTACGACATTCCATCGCGACGGAGACCGGAGCTACCTGGCAAGCATACGGACGCAGACTCAAGTTCCTCTACGCATTCCGCGTCAGGGAGATAGCGACACCTTGTTCTATTTCTGGTGGAGTTGGTTCCACTAACCTCTACGCTTTTCCCCCTCAACACGGCATCCATAATATAATCCAAAACGTCAAAACGCTATTGGTTAAAGTGTCATAATTCTCTTCCTGTGGATTTGCGCGATGCTTCATTCTACAATTCATCCGAGGTCAATAGACAAACTTCATGTCTACGGCGACGCATTACCGTAAAACGGAATTTATTGCATTATGCAGACTTTATTCAGAAGGTGCATGGTTTAATTTTTACAAATTTTTTTCCGCGATGAAATTACATTTAAAAAAGAAGTATTTTCGCAGTCTTTTGTGGATTCAAAAGGAGCGCACGCAGGGTTCTGCAACACCGAAAGACAAGTCTACGTGAGTTACATGACCACTCAAAGCAGCCGAGTTCACGATGGCAACTGATAGACACCACATCCGATGGCACTGCATTTTACACGAATTCCAACAACACGGAGAATATGTTTCCAAAGCACGGGGCAATCAATTTGCAGTGCTTTTGTTTCCAGGGTTGTGGCTCATGAAATGCGCAATTATTGGTAAACTTATTATTAGAAGCGATGATTTCGATCCTAGTGAACAGCTCCACGACGGACAGCAGCCTTGGAAGTTGGAAGATGCGCAATTGTAAGCTCTATTGCATGAAGACACAACGGAAACCCAATAAGAACCTTTATCAGCTCAGTTAGGAGTCACCCAAAGACATATTTCCGAGCGTTTGCACCAAATGCCAAAAACGCAAACACTTGAAACTTGGGTCGTCCCCACAGCAAAGTAGCTCAACGTATGAACACATGCCCTTCACTGCCTGCCCGCAGGCAACAAGCAGTGAATGGACTTCTTGTGGAACACTATGACGAGTGATGAAAAGTATATTTTTTCGCTACGGGAATCCCAATCGCACAACGTCGTGGGTATATCCCAGATAACCCATGACATCGACGAAGAAACAGGACATCCGTCCATTTGTCGAAGGTCCACCGGTGTATCCGATGGAGTGACATGAAGGGTGTACTTTATTATGGCAATCATTTGTTCCGATTAATGCAGCGCGCCTTAGTGGAAAAACAGTTTAAAATGCCGGACGATGTACCTAAATTCGTTGTCGATGAAGTTGCTGCCTCAAAGCCTGAGAGCTTCTTTCGCGATGGCATTTGTGCGCTGATTAAGAGATAGCGCAAGGGCATAGAAAACCATTTACAATATGTCCAAGATTAAGGTAGTTGAGATTTTTAAAAAAATTATGAAAAATCCACTAAATGATGCCCGATTTTTTATGAGAAGAGATACATCTATGCCCAGTTATGTCCAGGACAAAGAAGGTAGTGAAGTTTTTTTCAAATTGCGGGAATAAAGAGTGTTCTGTGGTTAGTAGTCATCAGGCATGTGGAACAGTACTCGGTAACTCACTTCCCCGTACTACCTCCCATTGCTTAGTTTGAACAAGTAGGCAGTCCAAGATCACTGACCATTGAAAGCGTCGTATCAACGACTGGAACACTTATCACGTTAGTCCTGATTTATCTGTTGTTTTAAGGCTGATTGTAAGCGCCATTTTCAGTTCGCCCAATGGATGAACGATGCTCATGACAAACGCCATTTGAATTTGCCCAAAGCAGTACACAATTGTTGCATACGTTCGCTGTTTACTTCGTTTACAGCGGATTCGGTGGGTGAAGGTTGAATAAACAACCGCACTGGGTTGCCAGTTGCAAGATCTGGGGATAATTCCTTACAAGTTGGCTACTCTATAATTACTATTATTAATATCGCGTTCTTCTTGTCTTACGCATTGCTTTAAACATTCTACGACAAGATACTCTTTTGGTGGAGGCGCATAAGTTTGGGTTCGATTGGTCGAATTGCAGCCAATGAGGGCACGATACAGCAACCCTCTCGACATTTAAGTCTGACCTTATTAGTGAACGAAATGAAAGAACTCAGGGCTAAATGACGCCCTCCTCAACGGAATCCAAGTACCTGGAATTAAAACCGACCACCGACTGGAGGGAAAATAGAAAATATTTGAAATGTTGTGATTGGCGGTGATTTGAATCCATTCCGACACAAAAATCAACCCTCTGATGACCAATGTCAGCGCCAAAGGAACTTGTGCGCATACCTCGACAAGCAGACAAAACTATGAGATGAATTAAAACAAAAACGGAGAGACAACGATGAGAAGGCAATCAGGAATGGTTTTCTTCGCGTCAAATTCCTGATTAGGCATTTAGACATTTTAAAAGTTTCGTTTCAGAGGTGAAACATATGAGTGCAATGCAACTTTAATGAGCATTCAAAAGGGGTGCGGCTCGCTACGTTGTTTTAATTCTTTAACAGGAACGGAAACTGCGTTAATCACACTTGTAAGACTGATGAAGCGGACAAGCGATGTCCACTGCAAAATCTCCGACGAAAAATTGTACTTTAACAATCAAACTACGCAGGCACTAGTATTTTCGGCCAGATAATTCACTGGCTCTGCCAAATGCATGCTTAATAACAGTGCGTTCAACTAAAGCCTAAGATTGAGGATTGTGGTGCGAACTACGGTCGATTACGAGGAAGGAAGTAATGCCAGCTGAACACCGCGAATTCACCTCACGGTACCTCACAATTACGGGACACACACGTTAATGGTGCGGAGAGTTTGTTGTGGCAACAGGCAGGGACCTAAATATCCACTAATATTTTCACATATTTTGGAGTGAGTTAGCAGATCCTTGGCGCTGAATGTGTCACAGTCTGTGCCAAGTCAGTTACTGGGTCGACACAAATCGCCAAAATAACGCAATTCATGCATAAATCGGCCCCAGGGCAGTGAAGACCTCCCCAACAACAGGCTGGAAAATTAGCACAAAACAGGACATGCTAATGAAACGCTTGCAGAGGTTCCTTCTAATTTGTAGATGTTCAGTACGGGTAGTTGCCTCTTTGTGGAGGCCTAACGACAATGTTTAACCCTATAAAGCATCTTTTGTAGGCTGGGTACACCTCAAAAACGACAAGTGCGCGTGAATCTTTAACCTAACGTCCAAGCAGTAACTCCAGTCGTGAGATGCGGACAGCTATTTCGAGATATTTACAAGGAAATTCGCCTAATTCCATGAAAAAAAGAAGCTAATTGGCTTCATACCCTCGTTGAACCAATGATGCGATGCAGCACATTAAATTCTGTACTAGAATGGGCCTGATTGAAGAAAGGATGTTCTCTGAGTGGCATTGAGCGCCGAGTTGGCAAAAACTCTTACGCAACAATTTGGTGGAGTTTCAAATCGACACGACCGGCAGTTCCCAATCATCAGCCAATCGGTAGCAAGCCAGTGTTGAGCTTATGGGCTGCGTGACCAGCGCGCTTAACTCGGTGAGATTCTAGGACGAAGGGTTCGACACACACACACACACATCCTTGAGCTCAGTCTATTGGGGGTGAAGAGGAAAGCAGCAACTTGTCAGCGCCAGGCAAATTAGACACAGGCTTGCCCCAATTCCCACTGTGGGTGACTCACGGCCCTCCAGTCCCAACACGCGACGTTCTCAATCGGCCTTGGCCTGCCGACGACGTCTGCATGCAACTCACCAGCCGGCCGCGTGGCAAACGAATGGCAACTTTACAACTAGACTGCTTTTGAGAATGCTGACACCAAAATGAAAACGATTAATTTCACTCCTCTAGGAAGCTAGGTTATGTGGACTCCAGTGGTGTACTTTGCAGTCCACTATAATTAGCATGAAGCTTGACAGGAAAGTACTTTTAGCTTTGTGGCATTTTACGATTGTCCCCTTCAAGATTGGATGAAGGTTGAATCTGAAGTCGCCTCTTGCGTGGGCACCGCCCAATGACGAACGTCAGTGGCCCTCCAAATCAGTTGTTTTAATTGTCAATCACGCGCTCCACGAGAAGTGGAATTGTCTGCTTTCCTGCGAATTCACTTGCTCTCACAATCTAAACATTGCAATAAAACCATTCACTGACAATTGTGTATCGATAGATCTCGTTTTGCCCACAAGTGCATGGTGGCGTGTTGAGGAATGCGTTACTAGAGTTCACACTTGATTCAATTATCGTCTTACCTAAAAGTTTAGTGACTTATTTCTCAGCCTGATTGGGGAATAAGCAGTAATCCGATCAGGGGTGAGTCCACTTTAACTCTGGATCTTGATTGGTGCGTTTTCAAAACAGCAGACAGGGCCGACTGCGAGCAGTCGGGAAACGCCGCGGATTGTGGAGCAAACGTACCGTGAGATCGAGTGTCTGAGACTCGGGTTCGTTGGAGGAGGGAGCAGCGCCAACTACCTTGATGACCTCAGCAGAAAAACCAAGGTCATCGATTCGTTCTGCTAGGGCGGAGGGTTCAATCAGAGTGGGGTCGTAGGTGACCTCAGCCTTCATTGAAAGCAAACCAACCAAGGCGAAGCTGACTCCTAGTAACGAGAAGTAAAGCATCAATGACACGTTTTGAGCAACAGATTATTGGATACTTCAACTGCCATATTACTGTCAGTTTATGGACGTTACCAACACGACAGCCACCAACATGAGAGCAAGATACATACACCGAAGAATTTCACTACTCCGCATCTGGAATTCTTCCCGACTACACAGATTTTGTAGGTTGTCACGTGTTTACTTTCTGTCTGCCTGAAATAAGCACGGCGGACCTACATTGGGCTGGTTGAGAGGACTCATTACAGAGCCATGAACGCAACAGAAAAGGGGCTAAACCAGCAATAGATTAAAGCGCAACAAACACCAGTAAACAAGTCGTGATTACTGGCACGGGGTAACATTAACGGTTTGCAGTTTCGGGCTGGTGTCGTAGTTAGCCGTTGGAGATAGCGCCTGCTTTGTGAGAACCATTCAGCCATGGGATGGGATTTTTCGCCGCAGCCTTAGTAGGACTAAAACGATACCAGCCAACCAATCAAATTAGGCCATACTATTTGAGTACGAGTCGTCCCCTAGAGTCGAGATAATAGCAACAATATCGCACCAAAGATTAATAAACGAAGCAAGGGAACGAGGAAGTGTGTATGAGGGTGTTTACGCGAACTGCAATGCCCAGACGAGCTACCGGTGAAGGAAATGAGACAGGCTTCACAAAAGCAAACCTGGATATTTCTCGACGGCAAGCAGGAACACAAAATTGTTATTGAACAACAGTAGGTCTTCGAATGAGGCTGCGAATGATAGGGTTGTTCAGAATTGAGATCAAAATTTTATTTAAAATAGATATATTTTAACAGTTTTTTTCTGGTTTTGAAAAGATCGAACGCAAGATTTCAGAACACCGAACGAAAAGTCTACACGAGTTACATAACCTCTCATAGTAGCCGAGTTTGCGATGCCAACTGGTAAACAGCACATTCGATGGCACTGAATTTTATAGGAATTCCAACAAGACGTGAAATATGCTTCCAAAACACGAGGCCAATCTAACTGCAGTGCTCTTGATGCCAGCGTTGTATCTTATGAAACGCCCAATTATTGGTACAGACGTTTCATTAGAAGCGATAATTTCGATCGCAGTGACCAGCAGCCTCAAAAGCTTGAAGATGCGCAATTGCAAGCTCTTCTGCATGAAGACACAACGCGAACGCAACAAGAACTTGCAGCAGCTCATTTAGGAGTCACCCAAACACTTACTTCAAAACGTTTGAGCCCAATTAAGAAAAAAAACTTTAACAAACTGGAAGTTAGGTCCCCTCAACCTGAGAGATGGCGCGAGGTAATCGAAAAAGATAGACAATATTTCCAAAAGTTAAGTTCGTTGTTCTCTATTAGTTTTATATTTTAAAAAAATGTGCTGCAAAATCCAAAAAAATTAAGTCATAGACCTAAAAATTAGCGATGTCACTGGCATAGGGAAAACCAGTTCCCATGCGCAAGGCTTTTCGTACGGGACAGTTCATTTACAACACTATGACTGACTGCAAAAAAACCGTTTGGACGACAATTACAAAAACAGTGGGTCTCTAGAAGCGATTATGCTAGAAAGAACTTGTGACTACGACAAGACGATGGAACCCACGTACCTGGCATCTTTAGAAGCGCGCTTTCAATGGTGTGGACACAACTGCTACAAGTCATCCCGGTAACACGGAGGTAGCAGCGCTTGGTGTGGTTAGTCGGTGGTACATCGGCGTCGTCCAAGTCGATCGTGACCATATCGGCGTCGGGTTGTCGTGATGGCGACGCACAGTGTGGTGAGGCGCTCCTGTTTCCGGTGACCTTTGATTCTGAAATAGGAGAAACGACTTCGGAAGTCAACACCGATGACCCCAACCAGATGGATTCCACAATCGAAACCAACGGTTTTTTTCCCAACACCAGGAGGCGTTCATGTTAGTGGAGGTGTTCCTTTCTCACCCCAAACATTACGAGTTCTTCTTCAATGTGCAAAATTTCTGAGTCCGATTCATCCTCGACACTAGTATATCTCGAAGGGATTTGTAAGTGGCTTGGGTAAATTGGACCTTTAGCGACAAAAGGATGTATCCCATGTTGGGACATAGTCGAGCGACAGATGTCAGTTGTTAAGTCATAACAAGGACCGTTAGTTTGACATAAACTGTTATTGATTCGCATCTAACGCAAATTGTATTTAAGAGAGGAGAACGAGAATTTTAGGGTACAAAGGTTCGCGTTTTACTTCCCAATCAAATCTAAACTTGTTTCTTGTAGATATCCAGGGGACGAATTGCACAACGGTTGTTTTCCAGCTGTAGACGGGGCATCAACTCCTGCCAAGTCAGAACGAGGATTCTACTTCAGTTGCAGGAAACTTCATCCCCAAATCTAGTGGTTTTAGTTAAAGGGATCGAGTGGCCAATGCAGAGGCATTCAAGTGTGGAAGTAACAGCTCAGGTCACGTGGAGCTCAGCATTTACTGAGGATTCAGGCTGAGCTGAAGGCTCCGGCATGCATCGTGAACCCAATTACGCTACCCCGATAACCTCGAAGGTTAAGAGGATCGAAAGCAAGCGTTTATTTGACGGCAAGAGTGATTTTTGACCTCGACGTAATTACCTATTACTGCCGAGCAAGTCAGACTGGCAGGAATTATTCGCCTGGTTCGACTATAAGGAGTAGTGCTCACCAGAGACGAGGGTACATTGGTCCGTTGGGTGAGAGGTGGAGCCAAGTTCCACGATGGTGTCGCGCAGGGCGTCCAAACGGAGGCTCGCCAACAAGTCTGTGGCTAGCGACGCTTGAACATGCGGAACCAGACGAATTTCATCTTGCCGTATAAACGCATCAAAGGCATCGGCTGGAAGCACCGTACTGAGAGCATCCAAGACCTCCTTCTCACTCTGCTTCAAACTGACCCCGTTTAACGAAATTGCAATCTAAACAAGAGGAATTGTTGCATTTGAGACATTTCCCCAGCTGATCAAGAAAACAGCCAATCGTAAGTTGAAGCCAAAAGCCCTGCAAGGGCGCTTGACGTCACGCAGCTGTGGGCTAGTGTGGATCTGATCATGGCCAGCTATAGCTTAAAGTCGGGCAGGTATTACGTTCAAATTTAAACGACTTAGGAATCGGAAAGTGGCGCAAAACCACTTCTTATTAGTTGTACTCCCATCTGGCGCAATTCAGAAATAACATTGCAGCCTGGCTTCATTTCGAGATGTCGCTGGAGTACAGAAGAAAAACACGCATTGCCATATTCTTCACCATGATCATCATCATCCTCTACTGGGTCACCGAAAATCCCAAATCACAGAATTGAATATCAATTAAGATGTGCAGGCTGCCGGCTAACCTTTGTGGTCTAAACCATCACAGTGGTGATGATGGAATGGATTTAAAAGTAGCACGACGGTACGGTAACACTGAATAATATAGGAAATTGTGTGCTTTTTGTCATGGAACTAAGTGTTTGGCGCGTAATTTGACAGGTCCTGAATACCTTTATCTAAAAATACCCCAATTTTAGCAATTCCAGCGTAATTCAGACAGCCTGCTAACAGGCAGTTCAATTGAAGTTACCACGAATTCTTAATACTAAAACTACGCATTCGCTATAACGATCGGGAACCTGAACGGTCAGCAGGTCATCGCGATACTTCGACAAGGGTCCAAAAAGCATAGCTCAAAGGAGACATGAAGGCACAGAACGCGCCATTCAAATTGTCGGTTACACGTTCGGCTGTGCAAAAGCTTTTATGTGAAAGAAGAGATTGATTGTGAAAATTAAGAATCTAGCCTGTACATGAACATGCTTTGATGAAAATTGACTTGAACAGGAGCCTTACTTCGAAACTGGACCCATCAGGGACTATCGTGGCGGATGGAAAACCAGCGTTAGTCAATGTCTCGGCAAGTGAGTGTGCGTTGGCATCCTTTGGAAGTCGGACGAGGTGACGCCAGGCCACCGGAGTCTGGCAGACGACCAGACTGGTTAGCGATGGCAGGCCAGGGAGTTGTCGCAGGACCTCGATGTCCTGTGAGGGAACACAATCGACAATCAGAGACGCGGTGTCTGTTGGCACGTGCAGTGGAATATCCAGAGGGTCGAACTCAGCAAGCGTCGACTCCATCGAACTGCCCCTAACTGCGCTAACCGCGAAGCCATGTTGAGTCAACTCGGAAAGAATGTCTACGATGAAGGAGGATAGAGAGCAAGGTGACTGTGTGGGAGTGAATTTACCACCTGATTTAGTATTAAAAAATACTCCAATATTGATCGCTCATTTTCTTGTTCACCGCTAACCGATGAATAAACTTGATTGTCTTGAAAAAAGAATGATGAGACAGCGATCAAAGTGACGTCCACCAATTAGCAAATTGTTCAACTCGTGAGTGAGCTGTTGATGCGCTACAAAGGACTGTGCAATTCACTACGACGAGATGACAGCGGCCCGCATAGGTTGCCTGCGATGGCAATCTTGCTATGCACCAGAACAAAACGTGTTGGACTCATGAGAAAGATGACAGCTTCGACTAAACTAGCATTTGACAGTCGTGCGCACGAATCAGCGCAGTCCGAATTCAAGTTGTTAGGCAGAATGTGCTGTGGTCTTAGAATTGAAGAAAAAAACAACCCACGTTAAGAAAGTAATCAGCACGACCGAAACCACGAGTGTATGCGTATAAGCGCGTGCGGAGACAACGGACTTTGGCAACAGCCATCAAACTGGAAAACGATGATGGTAAACAACGAAGATGCGCTAGGCTACCGGACACCGGACACGCGAATAAGTGTGAAGCTGGTTTCCTAAAGGACCTAGATGCAATTTAAACTATGCAGATTCCGAACAGTCAGTGGATATTTAAATTTGTGTGATATCCAGGCAATCATTATCTGTCCAGGAACGCACATTGATAATAGTGGACGGATTAGATTAGGTATTGTATTATGCAGGACTTCGGCAGGTGGTTAATGGAAATTTGCATAAAACACGAAAAATATTACCATATGTGCATACACCAAAAACAGACAGTAGGAGAAGGTCTCCTCTGATAAAATATCCAACATCGTTGAAGCAGGGATTAATGAAAAGCAAGTAAACCCAGAAAACCGGACAAGGGAGTGCGAAGTTGAATGCAGCAACGTAATAACGCGAACACTATTTGCGTTAAGATATTGTCTTTTGGAGAGAATTCTTCATTCACTGTCGACCTGTGTGCTGCTTAGATGACTAATCGTACCCATAAACAGCTGTGAGCACGTTGTGGTGAAAGGTCTGACGAATGCGCTGGAGGCAGATGACCTACCGCCTATTTCCTCCAGCGAAGCGAGCTTTCATACTCGCGCAAGAAAATGGGTTTAGTTGTCAAGATGAGACATTTTTTTCACGTTGAGCGCCGAATTATCACACAAAGTGGTTTTGGCAAAAATATTGTGCTGAAAAGGGATAACTTACTTGACATTTAAACGGTCTTTTACCAGTCAAATTGTGTCCTTGGGTTTTAAATTAATTAGAACACTTATTTACGAGGAGTCTTTGGAGCAGCTGACACGACCTGATTGGGAACAAACCAGTTTCCTTTATTAGGACCAGCAAAATTGAACCAAATACACCACATAACCCAATTTTGGCCTAATATTCAAATTTAAATTCAATTTAATTAGGGTTAGGTTCTTAGTTACTTGCTAGCTTATTATTATATTGCTATATAAGCCTTTGCACAACTCGAGTTCCTCTTAGTTCAACTTCATATTTCTCAGAACTAATTTCGGGGTCATGCAAGTCGAATTGACGGTTCGGATAGCCTAGATTGACATGTTACGCAAAAACGCATAACGCTTAAGTGCATCAACAGAAGGACATTTAACTACGCAATTTGGTCCTGGTGAGTGCTGTGATGAAACTAAATAAATAAGGCCTTCGTAGTAAAAAAATCCCTTTAACCTTGCATTTAAGAAACATCAGAGAACTTTAGCGACTTCTGTTTGTAATTAGGAGAGAGCAAAACTACTTAGCAAGCTGTCATCTCGACGTTTGCACTTTAAAACAAACATCTTACCTGCATTTGATATGCCATTTGCCAGACTCCAAACCTTAAGTTGATTTACATTCTCCAGGTTGGACACAAGCAAAACTCCCGGAACGGTATACAAAAATTCGATTGCTGATGAGATGTCAGAAGAACTAAGATTCAAATACTGATAAAAAACAACGTTGTTGCTGTTATCGAGGAATGGAGAATAGGATTTGGTTGCAGCTCTGCCAGGACCCGAATCAAGGTGCGTTGTGAGCAGGTCAGCATCAAATCCAATATTTGACACCGCTTCAACAACTTCGGCTGTAGTGATTTCACTCGGGGAAAAAATTATTAAGGCCTGGTTATCCTGAAGGCTGACCTACAAATCGGCAAACACAAATACAACTGAAACTGCTTAAATTAACCAAATTTGAAGCAACAAATGCAGATCATGCTTAGAAACTAACTTGCTCCAGATAATGTATCACAAGAAGAGGTTATAGAAATCACGACGCTTGCACTAATTTTTTTATCCCATGGTCGAAACCTTATAAAAAATATTGATTACCAAAACATCAAATTATGCATGTACAGTAAATACCAATGATTATTGACATTACCTTTTCGTTAATGAACAAAAAATCCCATTCTAAGAAACCAGAAGATTAAGGATCTGGATCGAACAAACTTTATTTGGTATTTTTAGATTATTATCTAAATAAAGTAGGCAACCCTCTTAAACAAAAGCATTAGGAAAAGTGGCCTTTATCAAAAAACCGCAACGCTGATTAAGATTTCAATATAACAAGATATTTTCGTCAATCATTTTTTTTCTAATTTTTATACTAGTACAATGACTAATTCAGCCAAACATATCTGTAAATGTCCGTTAAAAATACAGGATCCAAAAAAACTACGTCAAACCCTATATTTTTTCTCAGATGGAAATATTAACTTAGGAGTCAAATAATAATTACTTACGTCGACAGCCAAAACACCAGGGACTTTACATAAGCAAGATAAAACTGTGTTGACACAACTCTGACATGTCATGCCATCGATACGTATTATAAAGCCCCTGTACATGTTACTTTGGCATCCAAGTTATCAGTCCGCCGAACGGTATTGCACCAACCTCTTTTAATATAGATATTTCAAACACTTCAAGGCCATGGATTGTGCCTACTTCTATCATTGAGTAAACATTGCCAAACAAAACATATACTGGAATTTAATTACAAAAAATTAAAAAGAATGCAAAAAATTCAATCTTGTTTAACCAATTTGTGTGGATCGTAATGAAAGTGAACAGGGGCTAGTTGTGGTTTGTTGCATTGGTATTATTAGTTATAATATGTATAGCTTTTATAACTGCGGATTAAAAAACTATGATATTGTTAGCAATGAATAGCTGATGTCTAATCCCAGATCAACATTTTTTGGGATTTATGTAATTTATGTGACAGCATTTAACTTGGGTAAATATTAATTGAAGGACTAAATTAATATTTTTTAATACAATAATGTCATAATGTTAAAAATGTGATTTTCAGTAAAATTTATTAACACGCAAAAAACGATAATAATCAGAGTAAGACATTTATCCTATTTTTTACTGAAAACTGTCTTTTAACTGCCACCGACTGCAGTTGATATATTGAGATCATTGGAACCTAATTGAGACACATTTCATATACTTTATATTTGGGAAGTTTTAACAAATGCCAGCGTTGAGGATTATCACAGAGTAGGACATTTTTTTGGGAAAATCGGTTATAAATTTTAATTCGCAACATAAAGTAGTAATTGTATGGAAATCATGAGCGAGTGAATATGGTATCAGTGGTAATGAAATGGGTAAAAGAGTTCCCGAACATTGCAAATATTTTTACGATTTCAACAAACGTATTGGAAACCATTGGAGAATGTACGTAGCAAAATGCACACAATAACAGCACAGCCTTACAATTTTTGCAGCAAATAACAGTTACCGTGCTTGTTATTGATAATTTGATAATCAGGCGGTTGTGAGCAAGTGCTTGTTTGCTGAATGCTTGACTTTGATTTGGACAACCTGAGTACATGCAGAATTGTTCATGGGGCAATCTTCTAATTTGCTACTCCAGCGCAGAAGAAATCACAGAAGCTTCTCATGGAAAGGAAGGCAATGCTTCAATTAGTTACATGACCTTTGTCTAGATCTAACCTACGTCTTATTACATTCGACTTGTTTCAGTGCATGGATATCCTTTTGATCCGGTTTTAAATCAAAATTTCCTTATATGGAAGCGAATAACTTTCCATAATCACTAAATGAGTTGTGATAAATATCACACTGGATATATTTTACTCTTCTTCTTCGCAGGTCTGGGAGTCATCCTGCTGGTGTGGTTACACTTGAGTCAGCATACTTGATATTTCCTAAAGTTACTTTAAGGGCTATTCCAAAATAACCACTTTTGTCTCCCACCCCGCGGTTTTTCACAAGCCATGTCTTTTTCCTGAACTCAGTGTCCAAATGACTCACTAAAACATTAGCATGGTCCTCCTGTGCCCTAGTCTTTATCGTTTTAGTCATCAGAGTTAAAATTAAAAAAACATCTCTCTATGCAATGACCGTCTTCGCAGACCATAGAGTGTTTGGACTCAGCATTCCGCAAGACGGCTTATCACGTATGAGGATTTTGTTATTGTTTACATGATTCCCCTGACCACGCCACTCCAATGGGTAGGTCACCAAAGCTACCTAACTGAGAGCTCTATCTGAGTGTGTTAGTAGGGTGTCATGTTAATTCGTGTTTTAATCCACTTTCATCCAAGGTCATCCTCGAGAGATTACCCGGCCTTTGATTTCGGCATTAAAAGCTGGTTACACGGGACTCTGCCTTGTTTTGCATTGGCGTTGGAATGTTTGGAAGCTAACGTCTGATAAGGGATCTGGGGTACTGTCTATCTGAGAAAGTTTGTGGCTTTGTGTTACGTCTGCCCGTAACAATAGAGAAGACCACTCAAATAACGGTACCAGATCCCTTGCTGAAAGTTAGAACCGACCTTCCCAGGCTAATACAAGAACAAGACCAGAGCTCGAGTAGAGTGCTTTATTCACGTCAGCCACGTGCGGAGTAGAAGTGAAATCGAATGTAATTCAAGTCAAGGTTGACCTTGACTTGATAAAAGCGTAACAAAACAAATGTTAATAAATTAATGTAAATAGAATCAGAAACCAATCTTGCGGAATCGTGGATCCCCAACGCTTTGGTTACGGGCAAAATGTAACATAGAGTGATGCAAACCTAGACCATCCACTTGATTTTAGTCACAAAGTTTAAACAGTTGCACACTCCCTGACCTTAAAATTACGCTCAAGTGACAAATCTGGAGATCGCACTGCGAGTCAGAACCCAGTTTACTAAATCAGGAATCAGCGTGTTCTTCCAGATAACATGACAAATACTCATGGCAGCAAAGAGTAGAACATTGGCCTTCACGCATCCAATATGCCAATACTAACCTTGACACAAAATTACTTTAGCGATTCCTCTACGGTCGGTTTTGACGACAGAGAAGCCATCTGGATCTCCGATGATCCGGATAAAGGATACTTTTCGTGAAGTGTTAAGTCCCTCAATTCGTTAAATGCTATCGGCCGGCGAGTGTTCAAAGCTGCAAGCTTATCCCAGACAAATTCGCAGGCGGTCTTGAGTTTTCAATACTGAGAGACCACTAAATGCCCATTTTTGGAACTCCAGGTCACAGATTCAGCCACAGTAGATGGGTGAGCCTAAGTGACACAGTGTGGAGCAGGTTTGCCTTTTAACTACAAACCTACGCTTCAATACTGGGCGATTCAATACCTTGCCTTCTGTTGACAAATACCTGCCAAATGCGGAAATGAGTCATTAAAACCTTTCGCGTTATTTAAGCGAGCCCGTAGGCGACGCAGTAGGCAAGAACAAATACATGATTCCAAGCAATCTCACCAATTAAACGATCCCCATTGGCTGAATACGGCAAGCTTTTGATTGGGTTTTAGCATAGCAAGATTCTACATATTGTTTATAAATACATAATTAACATAGCGGTGAGCTCATGAGGACGAGCTTAAATGCAAACAACAAGGGTTCATTAGGTCAAAATATACACCGATTGGAGGGTGTTGGTGGTGGTGGCTGGATCTGGATGAAAAATAAAATAAAACACATTCTGATGCAGACACTAGTGCGAAGAGGATGTGGGGAAATTAGACGGCTTCCTGAGTTTGTTCCAGGAGTTCCTTCATTTCTACATACAGCCGCTGCATCCCCAAGTTGAGGGCGAAGAGAGACAGCAGTTCCTTCACCAGAGAGCGCTTCGACAGACCCTATTCACGCAAAAAAAAGACCAATGACAAAATTGCCTCACGCAGTGTGTAAAACGTTTTCAAAGTGAAACGTAGGGCAAAAAAGACACACCTTGATAGACGGTTCCCAGGAGGTCTGGCTGATGGGTGGAAGCGGACCAATGAAGTCCGTACAGACCTGACGAACACGCTCGTCTTCGTCTGAAAAAAAAATAGCGCATGACAACACTGTGGTGTTTAAAAGTATAAAAAAGTAACTAGAGGCGAGAAGGGGTCCGGCTCCACGATCCTGGTCAAAAGAACTAAAGCTGGGTTTAACCCAGCGAGTGGCATCATCAATGACTGAAATAAGATGACTTAATTTGTGCAGATTTCGTTTTTGGGATTAAAAATATACTTAAAATAGGAATAGTTCCACAGTCTTGTGACATCGGAAGGATCGGAGGCAAGGTTTCACTACAGCAAACGACAAGTCTACGTGAGTTACGCGATCCCTCACGGTAGACAAGTCTACGATGGGAACTGATAAACAGCACATCTGATGACAATGCGTGTTACACGAATTCAAACAGATGGAAAAAATACGCTTCTAAAGCACGAGGGGAGTCAATGAGCAGTGTTCTTGGTGCCAAAGTTGAAACACATGAAAGGTGCCACGATTTGTACAAATGTTTGACAAGTTGTGATTTACGATCTTTCGTTAGAGCAGCGTCGAGAGTTTGAAGATGCGAAATTGCAAGGTCTACTGGATGACGACTCGCCGTTAACGTAACAAGAGCTTGCAGCAGCTCAGTTAGGAGACACCCAAACACCTATTTTCAGGCGCTTGCACACGTGCTGACTGAGCGCAACCTAGGTCAACGTATGAATACATGCCCTTCACTGTCGGCGCGCCGGCAACAAGCATAGTGACGGGTGATGAAAAGCCTATCTTCTTCGCTAAGGGGAATCCCAAACGCACAACGTCGTGGGTAGATCTCAGTACCTCGACGCCGAAGCAGAAAATCAGTGCACTTGAAGAGGGTCCTCCTGTGTATCTGGTGGATTGATATGAAGGTGGACTATATTACGAACGCCTGGAAATCGGTCAAACGGTTACTGTGGAACGATGCAGCCGACAACTGAACAAGGTGAGCAAAGAGCTTGATCAGAAAAGGCTATTTGGCGGGCAAGGAAGCAGGCAGGCCATGCTGCTGCTGCTACTGCTGCTGCTGCTGCTGTACGACAACGCTCGACCACCTCACGTTGCTCGTGCAACTTAGAACACCCTCTTGAAGTTCTTGTATCG